TGAGGTTCACACGGGCCCACTTCTCCAGCGTGTCCAGGACCCGCTGGATGGCATCCCGTCCCTCAGGCGTGTTGACCCAACACTCAGCTTGATGTCATCTGCAAACTTGCTGAGGGTACACTCAATCCCACTATGTCATTGATGAAGATATTAAACAGTAACGGTCCCGATACGGACCCCTGTGGGACGCCACTCGTCACCGATCTCCATCTGGCCATTGAGCCGTTGACCACTACGCTCTGGATGCGGCCATCCAACCAATCTTGCTTTGCTCTCAGAGGGAACAGGCACCTGCTCTGAGCTCTAAATACTCTCGAGTTCAAATTGGACCCTGATCCAAATTTTGCAGATGGACCTTACATCACAAATGATCTTCTTCCTCTAACTCGGGTAAGCAACGATCTCAGCTCAGTCTCACCCATAGCTGATGCATTAGACAGTTATGAAAAGCAGGTGCCCACTGTGTCGCAAGGCTCATCCCTGTGGGAGACACTCGGTTTTGCTTAAAATCTGTGCTCATCTCAGGAGCCTGCTGTAGGTCACCCTATATAATAACTCACCCCATGGCCGTTGCACCGGGAAACGCACTTCTCCAGCTCAAAAAGGGAGGCATTCTGGCACCGGCGATCTTTGCAAACCTGAGACAGAGCCAAGAAGCTGAGGTTAGAGAAAGACCCGAGAGAGGGAGGACAGTGATCTTCTGGCTTCACAGATGGGAGTCCTCTGGAAGGATGCTGTCCATTGGAAAATCCAGGTTGGTTAAATCATATTGTTCCAGGTCAATGCACTTCACTCCAATTTTCAGCACAGCCCAGGAAACCTCTGCCATTCCCCCATCCAGGACGGCTCAGCGGAGACCAGCCACCACCACTCCCACCCCCCTCCCCTGACAACCCACCTGGCAGATCCTGGAGAAGCCATTTCCCATCTGGCCCTAAAACGCAGGCACCAGCCAAAAAAACCAACACTGGATTTCAAAACCAGCCATCCTTTCTCATGAAAATGTCGACTTTTTGGCCTTCCATCCCAAACTGGGATGAAAATTTCACAATTAAAATGCCAAATAGCAAAGGCAATATCTCCCCAGCCAGCTCTGTCTGGCGTGCATCCCTGCTACCGTCTTGTCGACCAGGCTTCTGCCCTTTCTCGGCTGAACTGACCCTCTGTAAAGTACTTGGAGATGCAGGGGTGTAAAAGAGACTAATGCTCAGTTAGCAGCATCTGTTTGGATCTGTCGTCTTGATTCCTAACACAGCTTTCCCCTGGGAAACAGTTTATTCATAGGAGGAAGCCTCATCCATCAAGTCCTGGGGCATGCAATTCTTGTTGGGGTTGCTCCACTATGCCTTAAATCAGTAAAGAAACATGGAGGCCAGAGGGAAGAATTTGATGGCCTACACACAAGCATCTGGTGATGTCTAGAAATGCCCCAGTTGAGATGTCATCAAGGCAAGGTCTGCAAGCATGGTGGGAACCACGTCCCGTGGCCCAGCTGTAATGCAGAGAAGAGCCAATGTCTACATCGGAGCTGCGACAAGAGCTAAGGAGCTGATCTGCTGGAGGAGACCCCAGCCCTAGGAAGAGGTACTCACCATCCCATCTCCGCATTTCGTCCCTGTCATCACCAGCCCTGGGTCGGAGAGGTCTTCCTCATCGTCCTTTGCGGTGTACATGTAGGTGCCTCGGCACTTCACCTCCCGCCCATTGAAGCGGATGGTGGTGTCGATGGAGACAGTGTTGGTCCCCTGGGGCTTCTTAGCTGAGCTCTGGCACTGGATCTTGCCACACATAGCATCCCTAGGAGCAGAACCCAGCCGAGGTGAGGGCAGGAGATGTGGGTGTCCGCTGCTTCACCCTCCCTGCCTCATCATCCCCTGCCCCACTGGCTCACCTCCCCTTGAATTTATGGCCATGGGAAGTTGTGATGGGAGAGACTCAGCAGGTTCAGAAAGGACTCAGATAAATCATGGACAGCACAGAGAAATGCTGGAGGGAACAGGCAGGGGGGGTCCCTCTAACATCCCTGGTCTAACTGGGAAGACTGGAGAGCACAGCACTAAATAGCATTTCCTACTGATGCTGTCTTTGATTTTCCCTTCAGGCTGGGCTGGGAGGTGATGCCTGGTGAGACAACCTCCCAACAGTGATGGGGACTGAGCCCAGGAAGGACCTGGTGGCTTCCTCAGGTCCAAAACGGAGCTGGCCCGAGGGGTGATGCCAGGAGATCGGGATAGGGGTGGGCAGCGGGGGGCTGCAGGTACAGGAGGAGGAGATAGGGCACCCATGGGTGCCAGCGCTGCACCCACCTCTTGTCACATTTGACGTAACGCCCTTGGCTGTCTTTGCCGCAGTTGCCGTAGGTGTTGCCGGCCATGTTCACGTCCTGGAAACAGGCGTCCGGGGCCGGCCAGGCACCTGCAGGGAGGGAGGAAAGGTCCCGCGTGGGATGGGGAAAGCAGCCAGCAGGGAGAAATACCAAAACCGGGAGCGGTGGTTGGATGCTCGTGGAGAAAACACCGTGGAAAAGTCTCCCGGAGAGCTGCTGCTGTGGGTGCTGGGCCAAGAACAGCACAAGAGGGATGAAATCCCCTTTTCTCCGGGGGTCTAGCAGAAAATTTTGGCCCTGGGGGAGGATTCCCCCCTGTGCCTGCTGCAGTCTCCCGGGGGCACCCACGGGTGCTGGCCCTGGGGGTGGCAGCACCGCTATGCAAATGGGGACCTATGTGCCCCGTATGGGGTGGGAGCAGCAAGCGGGTGTACGTGGGTGCGAGTGGGGTGTTGGGAGTGTGGGTATGGGGGGGCAGCGTGCAGCACGTGGCTGGGCGTGGCCATATGTAGTGTGGGGGCCCTATGCAGCATGGGGTCGTACGCAACTGGGGGCCATACACAGCAGATGGCCAGATGGAGCATATATGAGCTATGGGCCATATGCAGAGCGGGGGCCGTACACAGCATGGGGGCCATATGCAGCATGGGGGCTGTATGCAATCTGTGGCCATATAAAGCATATATATATGAAGTGTGTTACAACCATACAAAGCATCTGGCCATGTACACCTTATGAGCCACATCACCTATGGGCCATATGCAGTATAGGGTCTGTAGGTAGTGTCAGAGCCGTATGCAGAATATGGGCTAACTAAAGCAAGGAGGCCATATACAGTCATAGAATCATAGAATCATAGAATCATTAAGGTTGGAAAAGACCTCTAAGATCATCGAG